CTGAATCAAAATATTTCAACAAAATAATAGCTTAAATAAAAGTTTTCTTCCAAAATGAAGCAATTTGAGCTACTTCCAATCCAATTTTCCTTAATATTAACACTGAAATCGTTCTAAATAAACTATAAGCAGACTTTTATTCCACGAAATTCAACAAATATATATTCTAAATAAATGTATTTTAAAAATAATTGCTTAAAATCCAATTTTTGGACAAAATGAAGCAATTTGTGCCATTTCCAATCGATTTGGCTCAATTTTAAGCCTGAAAACGACCTAAATCAACGTATTTTAACAAATTAAATGTTTAAATAACTGTTTTCTGCCAAAATAAAGCAATTTGAGCTATTTCCATTCTAATTTTGCTCGATTTTATTACAGAAATCATTCTAAATCAATGTATTTTATAAAAATAATTTCTTAAAATTCAATTTTAGGCCAAAATAAAGCAATTTGTGCCATTTTCAATCCAATTTTGCGAGGTTTTTACCGGAAGCAAGCATATTTTTATCGCAAACATCACCTTGTGTTGAACCAGTTTGTGTAGCACCAACGTTATCGTAAAGACTAGTGGAAGATGTGGCGGCGGTCACTTTGTCGGCTCTTCCCTCCGTGTCGGTGGCGCGGGTCTGCGCCCGCGGCAAAGTCGAAGATCCTAAACCAAGGTTTTTGAAACAGATTTTTAAGAGAGTTTAGAATTTTACCTCGAAATCGTGGGTCCTGTGCCCTCAGTCTTGCATATTGCTCAGCTGTCATGCAGGTGCACTGCGGCTCGCGAGCCCGACTCGGCGACGCCGGAGTGCTCAAAGGCTTTCGTTTCGTTTTGAATTTTTGTTTGTTCGGCGGCTCCAACTTCAGCGAGTAGGAAGACGACGCCTTCCGGGAGAATTTGAACGACGGCGACTGTAACAAATCACACTGCGTTTAATAAGCATTATAAAACATACTACTCGGGGTGATAAAATGGGAGTGAAAAATTCACAATGAGAAACATGCGATTGGGGGTGGCGGATGTGATTGTGTTTAGAGGTCTTGCAGGGTGTGCGATCTGAAGTCTTACAACGGTTTTGGAGGTATTGTGCGCTCGAATTTGGAGGCAAAGTGGCAAAAAGTTGGGTTTAGTTTTGGTGGCAGCACTTACCAAATCGTCAAGTAATTTGAGAAAAATGGGTTTAAAGCGCTAGAATTTTGGCGATTACGATTAATTGTACATTAATTCGATTAATTTTTAAAGAAAACTATACAGAAATTTTTTTTTATTTCATTTAACTAAGAATTTGAAAGTTAAATAAATGAAAAACTAAAATATAAAATAATATAACAGTACCCCAAGTTAGCTTGGTGTTTGCCCTCTTTGGATAAGTTAATTTATTACATTTATAGATTTTGCCATAATTCGGTATTACCCAGTATCAATTCTAAATCCAGTGAAACATTTTTTGAAATATTTAATTTAACAGTTTTTGTTAAATTTTTTTGAATAAAATTAAATTATAGAATATTATAGACTTGATGAAAAATATTTGTGAGTTAAAAATAATGTTAAACTGTTAACTTAAACTTAAATTATTGCAAATATAAAAATGAAAGTTAAATATTAATAATTATTATTTATTATTATACCTCCACTAGTTATTTGACTAATAAAATCTGATATTCTTTTATTCATATATAAAAATAGAGTGTTAAAAATCTACAGGGTGAATTTAAAGTATGGAACCAAGCGGTTTTTTTCTAATCATTCGTCCCCAGAAAATAATAAATAATATAAATGAAAGTAATTTAAAAAATGTGATTGTATTTTGAGAACGAAATTTTGTTTTGTTTTTTTTTCTTAAAATTACAATTTATGTAAAAAAACTTATGAAAAATTAAATGTAAAGTAGATACTTGTAATTCTTAAATCATAATCTTCATGAGAAAAATGGTTGCTATTAAAAAAATAAGATTTTTTGTACAACTCAAAAACAAAAAAAAATTTCGAAAAATTTTATTTTTGATAAAACATCACATTTTTACAGTACTTTATCATTCATTAATTAGTTCTTTCCAAAAAATAAATGTGTTTTAAGCAAAAAACGTTTGGTTATCCATACTTTTTATTCACTTGGTATAAATTTATAAAAACTGCAAACATTTTGATAATAATTTGTTAAAAATTTTGTAAGAAATCAAAAGGATAAAACTGTTATAAAAGTCAGTTCTTTAATACAATACACAAAAAACATGAAAAAACAAACTTGTTTAAAATTTAAAAGTACAGGAAAATAAAAACAAGTATTATTGTTTTATGTAAAATAAATAAACTAAAAACAATAAAATAAATGCATTTCAGAAAACGAAACAAAAAAGTAAAAGAAGTTACAAACCAATGTACATGCATGAGGATGGGTAAAAAAAATAAAAAAGTAATAAAAACAAAATTTTCTTTTATTTTAAACCTTCTATAAACAAATTACAAAAATTAAAATTAAACACAAACTGATTAAATTAAGAGAATAGGTAGTTAACAAAAAATTTCATAAGCAATGGAAAAAGTGAACATCTACAGTTTTTTATTAAAATTTGTTTTTGATAATTCCGCCTATGTACAATTTACAGAAATAATAACAAAAACCTCATTTTGCTTGAAAATAAAAGCAAAAACGTTACAAATAAGTTGTTATTTTTTCAAGTGTCAAGTTAAAATCACATTCACCTTGTGCATTGCGTGTTATTCCCCCGAGTTTCAATTAGCTTTTAATCGAAAAATTGTAATAAATCACATTCACTATCAGTTGGTGTGAGCTGTGAAGTTCATAACACTGTGGGCGTCTTCTGTCCCCATGAATGAACAACATGGCAATGCAACAGGCGTTTATTTCAACCTTCCCATCAGATTTGATACTTACACAACATTCTCTGAACTGTTTTGCATCGATGGGCGAGGTAAAATTCAATCCCCACGTGTCGTTGGTCATGGGATCCTTCCAATACACGAAGCACTCCGACGCTTGCCCTATCCTGGTCCCTACAACACGAAAAATCAATTAGTTTTAAAAATTGAAATATTAAACTGGTTTTACCAGGCTGGACCAGCCGCACGTCCAGAATCTTGTCGACCTGCGAGTTGTAGGCCGTGATGTGAAAAACGCATTCCGGCGAGTCCTGAATGCAGGTGATGTTAACAGGCACGAGATCCTCACTAACTTGCTGCCATTTGACGGTACCAGCGCCACTCGCAGACACGTGGAACACCTCCGCCCATAATCTGCAAAAAAATTCTTTAAATCAACAAGAATTCTTATGTTTTTTAGATTGCTAACTATAACGAGCGGCAAAGCCGCGAGCCCCATTTATAAATTTTGACAAAATCTGATAGTGGGGGCAAAGCCCCTGATAATTATATAAAATATTTGCGAATCAGCTATCAGCTCACACTATTGTGAGGTTTAAAATTTAACAAAATGTGATAGTGTGGGGGCGAACGGCGAAGCCGCGACCTCCTATAATTTCTACAAAATATTGTAAAATCCGACCAGATTTGATTGTAGTTTCTAGTAATTCTGCTATTTTTGGATGTCAGATGTAATTAGCTACCTGAGGAGGTGTCCGTCGCGTCTCCTGGACGTCTGCCACGGCGAGTCCTCGTATCGATACGCCTTCCTGATGAGAGGGGCGCACGAGCAGCTGAGTTTGTTGCCCATCGCCGCCGCTGGGCACTGGCACTGGCCCCGCTGTCACCACATGTCGGGAGCGAACTCGGGCCCTCGGGAGCCCCACTGACCACGAACGCCACGGTTCAGAGACTGAGACCGCTGGTGTGCGGGTTTGTGTTTATGCTGGAAACAAATTTTTTTTTACTAAATGGGGGCTATTGGTCGGTTGACATTTCGAGCCGGCCCACGTTGAGATTTAGGCGGACTAAAAATAACGACCGATATGATCGCCCACGTCAAAGTTTTTCTCCGATTTCGTATGAGGAAGTCAATCGAGTTTTGAGAGGATGAAGAATGAGTTTACGTCGTTGAAATTGTTGTTTTACTTGCTCAAGAGGTGTATATTTAGTATGGATTAAATTTAGAACGCTGGAAGCGCGGAATAATATGAAAAAAGGTGGGCAAAGACGGACGAGGAGACGATTGGTGGCCGGTGATGGTTTTCATTTCTAATTTTATGTCTTAAACGAATTTTGATATCTAAACTAAATTAGTATCATTAAATCTCCCAATTCTCTACACAAATTTTAAATAAAATCTAATTGGAAAAAGTTATTTTTTATAAATTTACATACTATGTATTTACTATTACAGGCTCAGAATCTTGTAAATATCTGTAGTAAGTATAAATATTTCTGGAAAGAATATTTGAGTAAATATACAAAGTGTAAAAATAAAATTATGTTTATAACAACTAAAACACAACTGTAATAAAACCATTTTAAACACTACCGAAGTAACTGATGCAAGAAAATCGTGAAATTGTAGAAAGTAATGTAAGCAAATAACATCAAGAACTGTTAAATCCAAGAATAGTGTTGGTAGTTAAAGTTACAAATAAATATCTGTATAAACAAGTAAAACAAATAGAATACTTAGAACTACAGAAAAACAGTAAACTTCTTTAATAAACAATTAATTACTTAGTTTAAAAATCTATTAAAAAGTAGCAAAAGGATATTCAACGGCAAAACTGGTCATTACTTATTAATTAGAAAAAATGTCTGTAACTAACTTCACCAAAAATTTTCAAGAAAATTTTACTAATGAAGTCAAAAAATTTCTACTTAATGACATATTAAGCAACAAAATTCATGATAATTCGTTGAAATTAGAAAAATATTTTTACAAAAATTATTTATTCCAAAAAAAAACAACAAAAATCAAATGTGTGCAGAAATAAAATAATATTAAAATTTTCCAATATTCAACAAGCATTTATTATTATAACGTCTATTAATCACAAAAATAAAGTGTAGTAAACGAGGGGAACGCGCGTTTTGTAATCATCTGGGTAAATAATTCTATCCAATCAATCCTGTTCTGATTTATAGTAAATAATAAAATTATTGAAATTACTGATTCGCTTGATGGAACAATATTTTATAAAGAATAGGCATCGGGGCTATCTGAAATCGTAGCCAATATATTATATACAGGGTGCGCCAGAACTCGTGCCCCAAAGAACAATTCAAGGTAACATACCAGGAACATGAAAAAAATGTAAAAAATAATTTATCTATAAAAATTTCGAAGTTACGAGGGTTTAAATTTTGCACTTCGACTATTTATTTCTGTTGGAAAAATAATTTTCCAATTTTTTTTGCTATAGGCTATTAAAAGAAGAAACAAGAAAGCTGTATTCTAAATTGTAACTCTGTTCAATGTTATTTGTGGATTTTATTGGCAAAATTAATGTACCTTTATCAAATAATTTAAAAAAAATCATATATAAGATCATCAGTATTATTAAATAGACATAAAAGAATGTCAAATGTCGAAAAATAAATGTCAAAATTTTTTGATAGATAGAATTAATTCCATGTTCCTGGTATCTTACCTTACGGGACATTTTTTCTGGGGCGCGACTATTAGATAATTGTTTTGATTTGTAACTCAATTCTTTATATTAAAAAATATTATAAAGTAGTCTCAGAAAATTAAAAAGCAGTACAGTAATTAAAAGATAATAAAAAAATAAGAGCAAAATTTATAGATATGAAAAGATTTTGCAGTTTGAAAAAAATAACCCAAAAAATTTCCAATCAACAGACATCTCAAAAATGTTTCCGGTTTAACAAAAAAATTAACAAATTTTATACTTTGATGCTTTTATTGACCTTAGAAAAATTAGTTCTGTCATGTAATTAGTTTCTATGTATAAGAAATTTATTTGTAAATCTATTTGTTTAAAGTTTAAAGTATTATTATAAATAAAATAATAAATGATACTTCTAATTTCCTAGATCTTACAATTAGTGTCAACAAAATTCGTTATATCTACGAAGATTTCAAAATTTTAAGTAAGTATAACAACACTGTTAACCAAGTTAAACAGATTACAAAAAGAAGAAACCCTAAAACACGTTTAAACTATAGTTAATGTTTGAAAAACAAAAAAAAACAAAATTTTAGTTAAGTTAAG